AGAGGCGATCTCGAGGGCTGTGCTGGCGCGGCCATGTGGTCAGGACGAGTGGCTGTACTGTCCGTCAACCAGTGGAGGGGCTCAATCGCTAGATTTATGCAGTTCTCGGATTTGCGAAGCTTGCGCTGGTCTGCGGAAGTCGGCGGCTGGATACGAAGTCCAATGCGCAGAATTTTTCTTCGTGCGTGTTCCCGGATGAGCAATGGAGAGCTGCACTTCACCCGCGCACTGGAACTCCAACAGGGACGGTTTCAGTAAGCTCGCATGGGCGTGTCAAGTCTCAGCGCGGAATAGTGTTGCTCGGTTCCATCAGATACCGGAGATTTGCTTCCCAGGTAGACATCAGGCGTCACACTTTCTACCTTCACCGCGTAGTAGCGCGAACTTTTTGGGTGCCTTGTCAGGTCTCAGGTCCCTGGCAAGTGAATCACACAGACAATGATCCCAGTCACAGTCGCGTCGCCAATCTGGAGTACACAACACTAGCGGCAACGCAGTCCATTGGCTTTAGATGGCCGCGCGTGGGGGGTACTTTCATTACGGTATTGTACGTTTTCTTTCTCTTGCCGCGAAGCAGCAGAACATTTCAACATTTCTCGCCCTCGCACTGCAGCAGTTTATTGTGGAAAGGCTGCACCTCACCAGAAAATACGAATCCTGCTCCGATGTCAGACTTCTTCACCCAGTGGAGCTGGAAGTTTTGCTTGGAGAAGAACGGATTGATATGCACTTTTATATTTGACATTTCCGCAGCTTCTCGGACTTCTCGAACGTTTTGCCAGGCATTCGTTTCGTTTCGAGTTGCAGAGTTCGACTGGCGCCGGCCCCATTGTCAGAGCGCGTGCGGCCTGCCTCATGGCGATTGCTGGCGTGGTGGTCGTGAATGGTGGGTATGCGACAGAGACGCGGGAGGTGCCAGGTGGCTCCGACAGGCAGCGAGCGTCGCGCGCCTTGGATGCCCTAGATTTCTTGCCATTTTGGCGGCCGTGGCGTTTGCTGCTGGTACCCGCTGTGCGGCAGGCTCCGCGCTGCTGACCTGTGCACTGCGCACAGGCCTAGGACATGTGGGCATCGAAACCCAACACCACAACCAACACAGAACACTGCATGTGAAATCGCTGACCCACCACTGGGCTCCCAAAGATGTGCAACTTCATTGAGTATTGACATCTTTCTTGACCACCCCGCGCAAGCCAGAACACTTCGTGTGTGGATCAGGGCGTCGCGATCTCCGGGAGGGGCGCACCCAGTCCCCAGAGCCGCGAGCGCCTCCCGCGCGGAAAATTCCTCCCACAGGCACGAGGACACCAATCACCGGCTCTTTAGCAGGACTCCCCCGCAGAGGTCCGTGCCGTGAGGCTCCCGAGCGTGCTCTCGCGACCTTCCGAGGCGGGCGCCCCGGCTCGGAGACGGAGCTCTCTCGCTGCTGCACTCGCTCCACTCCCAGCTCGGAATGGTGCCTATCCTGCCCCCAGCCCCGGCCGCCTTCCCGGCTTGGAATCGTACAGTGCCGTTTTTAATACATGCTCCGCGTGCGGATCATGTATAATACATGCAGGGGTTTAGTAGTAAAAGCAACGATGAGTTCATGCATAAATTTACTCATGAACTAATCATGTATTTTTGGTTTAAAAATAACAATTTACATATACATATATATATATATATATATATATGTATATATATATATATATGTAAATAAAAATCCTATGTATTAAAAACTGCCATGTGCACTCGCTTCGGCGCCAGCCACACCCTCAGCTCGGAAGTGTGCCCTGCCCTCCGTCTGGGCCTGGCGGATGGGCAGCGCGGTGGGGGTCTCCCGTGTCCGGTGGCTCTCGCCGGAGCGCAAGCCGCCTTCCTGGCTCCGGATGGTGCTCCCGCCCCAACCCTGGCGACATTCCTGGCTCAGAACGGTGCTCTCGCCGCATCGCCGCTTCCATTCTCAGCTAGCAGCTAGTACTGTTGCTCTCGCCTTCAGCCTTGCGCTGCTGAGGGGCAAGGAGTTTCTGCTCCCGTCCTGTCTGGTGGCTCTCTCGCCCTCTCTCCCGCCGCGTGGCCGAGGTTCGTGATGGTGCTCTCGCCTCGACGCTGGCCGTAATTCCAGGCTCGGAGCGGCACTCTCGCCTCAGGGCCGGCCACATTTTCAGCTCGGCACTGCGCCGTCGCGTCAGCCTTGGCTGCAAGTGAGGGGCGGCGTGATCTTCTTTTCCCGTCAGTCCCTGGCGGCCCTCGCTTCAGCTGTCGCGCTGGGACCTCGTAACTGTACTATCGTTCCAGCGCTGGCCGCAGCCCCTCCTTGTGGGTTTTCTTTCACCTCACTCTTGGTTTCCATCCTGGAGCGAGCACGGTGGCTGTTGCCATTCGTACTGGGTGGTTTTGCATAGATCCCGATAGCAATCCCGCTTGGATTGATTGATTCTGCTTCTGGCGGTCCCCTCCCTTCTCTTCCTGTGCTCGCCTCTCTGCTCTCCGGGGCCTTCTGGTGTCAGAGCTGGCGGTGCTTCCCCAGCTGGCCTGTTCATCGTGCCGTTCCTCATCGTGCCCTTCGTCCTCTCTCTTTTGACGGCGTGCGCCCTCCCCCTCGTCCTCGGCGTGTCCTTCGTGCTTCTCCCTGCGCGCGTTTTCTTGGCTGGTGCGCCTTCGACATACTGCACTCGTGGGTCATGATTGGCTTTTTGTGACTTGTTGCAAGCTGGATGGATCGCTGCATACAACGCGTTCGCGCTTGCTTTCGGTACTTTCCGTGTTTTGCTGTCTGCTTGCTTGCTCGATGGATTCTCATTTGTGTCGATTCTTGCCGCTCGCCTTGGCCCGCCCCTGACCTTAGAGTCCACGGCTTCGGCTTGAGCACGGTCGCCACACGTGCGAATGTAATTAATGCGAACGCGGCCTGTTTGTGTCCGACCGGTCGTCGCTGCAACATCGCGAAGGAGGAACAAGTGTTTATGTGTCTGCGTGTCGCAATTCGGCGTTTTATATATTGATGCACGAAATATCTAGTGCAAGTGGTATTCTAAGGTATAGTGTTTTTTCGTTCGCCACATTGTCCCACAGTCATTCGCTGCCGTCTGCCAACATGGATGCGCGCGACTAGCTCAAGTCCCAAATTCATATGTTTCCTTCCTGTCTGTGTTGCATTCATCCCGCGTGCTTCCTCACCAATGGGTTGTCGAACCTGGGCATGTCGCTTCCTCATCCTGGGATGAAAGAATATGGAAGTATGAGAACAGGGGGGACTGGAGGGGACAGGATGGGAGAGGGAGGAGGAGGGGAAGTGTAGTGGAAAGTGCTGATGGAAAAGGGGGCAGCGAGAAGAGTGGAGAGCGGTGGGAACGGCCGGGGGGGGGACGGAAACGGGAAGGGCAAGGGCACGGGAGCAGGGTGAGCTCTGAGATCCCACGTCACGAGCAACAGTTGAGCCATCGTAGAAAATAGCGACCAGATCCCTGGAACCCATCTTCCCGCTGCACTTTTCCGAGCCGGACCTGGCCGCGGGGGTGCCAGGGCCAGAACTATGCAGGGCGCAACCGCCCGGGGCGAGAGACCTGCGACGACGGGACCTCAGGGAGGGCAGGGAAGCGAGGCTCACGAGGCACCTGTAAGGGTGACTGCCCCACGCTCGCATATCTTGGCATCGCTCGGACGTGTGCATTTTTCCTTCGTCGAGGACCATCGAGGAGCATCATGTATCATTTGGCGAAAAAACCACGCACGAAACCGAACAGAACACAGGGAATGGACGTCCGAACGACGGCCAGATATCTTCCAGGGGCAACAACGCTAGGCGGGGGGACAGGCTCAAGGGGGGGCGCGTCGACCCGCAGCCTTCTGTCCCTCGCCGATCAAAGGGCCCGATGGCCCGCCCCGCCCAGGACCGTGCGGGCTCGCTATCGGGGCCCTGCGCCCGAACTGTCCGCAACGCACCTCCTCCTCCTCCTCCTCCTCCTCCTCCTCCTCCCTCCTCCTCCTCCTCCTCCTCCTCCTCCTCCTCCTCCTCCTCACTCCTCCTCCTCCCTCCATCCTCCTCCTATCTCCGCCTCCTCTCCTCCTCCTCCTCCTCCTCCTCCTCCTCCTCCTCCTCCTCCTCCTCCTCCGCCCATTCCAGGTCGATGTTTCCCCTTCCCCCCACGAGCTGGCCTCCCCCTCTCGGTGCCCCGCACTCCTGCTCCGAGCCCGAGGCGCTGCCCGACCTCGCCCCCAACCAGTACGGCTCGCACGTGCTGGAGGCCGTCCTGGCCAGCTGGGCAGAGCGTCAGGTCCCGGGCGCGGGTTTCGATCCGTCTGCGTCGGCGTCAGGGCTCGCGTAGCGGGGGTCAGGTCGGACGGGGCTAGGACGAGGATAGATCCGTTCCAGAGCGTTCCGCAACGCTCCCAGAGCGTTCCGGAACGCTATGGGAAGGGCGCGGCGCCTGAGACGTCCTCCAGAGCCGCTGGATCTCAGAGATGCCCGATTTGTCCTCGCCCGACTTTGTCCTCGTCTTGGCTTCGTCTTATCGGGGCTGACGACTAGCGGGGGTCAGCTAATCCCCTTTGGCTGGCCCAGGTTTTCCTCTCTTCTTTGGCTGCACGTAAAAAGTGACCCTTCGCCGGTGTGACCTTCGGTGCGCTGCTTCCGGAGGGCGCTTCGGGGCCAAGCCCAAGCTCACAGGCCGCCATTGTCGCACCGCACGCAGCGAACCGCGCACTAATGGAGGATGACGATTGATAAATGACCGGGGGTCGTGTTCACGCGGCGGCGCCTGGGATGACGATTAGAAAAAACCAGCCGCGGGCTGGAAAACTATTTTTTTAATCGCTCTCCTCCAGTCAGAAAGTTGTGCAGAAATAGCAGACAACCATTTTTTAATCGTTCTCTCCCTTTTCTTTTTGTTAATCGTCATCCCGCATGAAAGGTTCCTGTTGCCCAGGGTCACTCTTGCGTGTAGCCGATGTCTGCGTTCCGTTGGCCCGAGGTTGGGAGCCATCGAGCGGCCGGCCGGGCTTCGCGGCAGGGCCTGGGCCGACACAGGTTTGTGCTGACCCTGGCCTGTGTGCGTGCCCGCCTGCGGGCGTTTTGTTAAGTGCTGCGTGTCGAGCTGCAGGGGCGGTGGCAGACGATCGGGAGGTAGCGGTGGGCGTCGAAGACGAAGAAGACATAAGACGAATCCTAAGACGGCGAACAATAAGTACATGAATCTTAGTACCAATGATAAACATCCGTACGATAGCAGATCGAAGATAGGGTACGATTTTTTCCGGTTAATCACATTGATAAGGCTAAGAGTAAACATGATAGCAATAGTCTTAATACTAATCAGGGGCGCACTAATCGTATGCAGACTCATTCTGTTTCATATTAGGACCAAACAGAAGAACACTAATGAACAACAGTGATTCCCCAAAGAAGATAATAATAACAATGATATTACCATGAATAATAAGAAGATGTGCGGCGGCGGAGACGACGCCCAGGACGTCGTCGACGACGACGGAGAAGAGCGATATAAAGCATGGACGGGGGGGGAGCATGCGATCGGGAGACGGCGACGTCGACTGATGATCGTACCGGGAGTGAAAATTCGATGTTAGCCAGCGCGGGCCCCAAACGGTATGTTCTGGCGTACTTTGTGGTACATTCCACGTATGTGGTGCAATTCGCTTGTGGACCACTCCATTGCTCGCGCAATCATCCCACCCACTCACCCGCAACTTTTTTTGCAAAACACATGCGGCGGCGATGGCGATGATTGCTTGGAGTTGGCTGCTGCATCTCTGCGGCCGAGCTAGCCCGCGCATGCTCGCGCGCGCAGTGGCCAGCTAGCTTGGCGCGATCGACGCGGCCGCGGTGGCGCTGACTGCTGGGCACTTCCCAACGGGCAGGTCAGTGCGAGTCGGCCACTTGGGCGGGCGAGGTATCATGGTAACGTCGACAACGGTGGGCACGATGATGATAGAAACGACGCTGGTGACGATGATGACAAGGGCGACGGCACGGCCAGTGACGGCGCCAATGCTGATCACGCCGACGACGATGACGATGTCCTCGCGTCGGCGACGAAGGTTTTAACGGAGTTCGACATGCGCGCGCGGCCGACGCGCGCGAGTGGCCCGCGTGGTATGATTCGACACGGATCGTACCCCCTTCCCAGCACGCGCGCAAAGGCGCTCGAACGCGTTGGACATGCGGCGTGGCAGGCCCGTTTGGCAGCATTGGTGGACATGTTGGAAACCGTTGATTTTCTTCAGAACCCGAAAAAGTGCGAGCGCAGAATCTTTTGAACATTAATGGTGCAACACCACGTGTTTTTTTCTATGTGTTCGGGGCATTCGGTTCCGAAATCATTACGGCACCGAAATTTTTTAAGAGGATCCTGGCATGCGCGCGCGACGACGCGCGCGGTTGGACTTCGTTTCGCTGTTTTGCAAGGGGTTCTTGCGACAGCACGCGCGCAAGGGCGTTCGAACGATTTCGGCACGCGCGCGCGGGAGGCCAATTTGGAAACACCTTATGAACATCTTGAAACCCACATGGTTTTCTCAAGAATCAGAAAGAATGCGAGCGCACACTTTTTTTGAACGTTCTTGTTGCGAAGCCACAGGTTCTTTTGAACATTTTTTTTTTCTTCGTGACGCTCGATTTCGAAATCTTTACACCACTTAAGTTTTTTTTTTTTTTTTTTTTTTTTTTTTTTTTTTTTTTTTTTTTTTTTTTTTTTTTTTTTTTTTTTTTTTTATATATATATATATATAAAAACATGCGCGCGACGACGCGTGCGTGCCCATTTCGTCCCGTATTTTTTTCTTTGGGAATGTTTAGATTATAACAATAGAAGGCGGATGATTTTGACAAGAGAGTGTGCGTGTATAGAAGTTTGTTGCAGACGATGGGGGCGGGGCGAACTCCAGTTGAGCCGTAATGGTACGAATTCTTATTTAGGATGGACGATGGGTCGGAACCGTATGTAAATTGCAATACGAAAAAAGTGTACTGCTAACTGGGGGGTGTCGATCTTAATCCTTTCTCGGAAAGGAGAAGATAATTTCTGTTCACAATGAGTTGTCCACTCCTTTGTTCGCGCAATCGTTCCACCCACCCACCCGCAACTTGGTTTGCAAAACTCACGCGGCGGCGATTGCAATGATTGCTTGGAGTTGGCAGGTGCATCTCTGCGGCCGCGCTAGACCGCGCATGCTCGCGCGCGCAGCGGCCAGCTAGCTTGACGCGACCGATGCAGCCGCGGTGGCGCTGACCGTTGGGCATCTTCCAGCCGGCACGTCAGTGCGAGTCGGCCACTTGGGGTGGCGCAGTACCATGGTAACGTCGACAACAGTAGGCACGATGATGATGGTAACGGTGCTCGTGAAGATGATGACAAAGACGACGGCAACGCCAGTGACGGCGCCGGTGCTGATCACGCCGGCGACGATGACGGCGTCTTCGCGTGGGCGATGCAGGTTTTGAATAGAGTTCGGCATGCGCGCGCGGGCGACGCGCGATAATGGCCCGCATGTTATTGTTTGATACGGATCGTGCACCTCCCAGCACGCGCGCAGGGGCGTCCGAATGATTTCGACGTGCGGCGCGGGAGGCCCTATCGGCCGAATATGGTGAAGCTGTTGAAAACCTACGGCTTCTCAAGAATTCGCAGGAGTGCGAGCGCATGCTGGTGTTACAATTGGTGTTGCGACACCTACGGAATTTGAGGTTTTTCAAGAATTTCGGCTTGCGCGCGCCACGACGCGCGCGCGTGCACTTAGTCCCATTTGTTGCAAATGGTTCTTGCGACAGGACGCGCGCAAGGGCGTTCGAACGATTCCGACATGCCGAATTTTCGAGGACCGCTTGGCCGAATTCAATGGACATGTGAAACCACCTTTGGTTTCCTTACGAATTCGCAGTGACGACCGCAGGCATGTGTGAAACCTGGCGATGCAAAGCCGTGTATTTTTAGATGTGTCAGAGGCACTCGGTTTGATGCTCCTTTCGAAACCGGAGATTTTGAACAGACTTTTGCATGCGCTCGCGACTACGCGCGCGCGTGTACTTCGCTCCCTGTTTTTCAAGGGATTCTTGCGACAACACGCGCGCACAAGGGCGTTCGAACGATTCCGACATGCGCGCGCGAGAGGCCTTTTGGATAGCATGCTATGAACATGGAAGTGGAGTTGGAGGAGTAAGGGGACCAAAGAGATCAGGAAGAGGAGGAGGAGGACGAGGAGGAGGAGGAGGAGGAGGAGAACGAGGAGGAAACGGAGGACGAAAAGGAGGAAGAAAAAGAGGAGGAGGAGGAGGAGGAGGAGGAGGAGGAGGAGGAGGAGGAAGAGGAAAAACCGGAGGAAGAAGAAGAGGAGGAGGAGGTGGTGAGGAAACGAAGGAGGATGAAAAGGAGGAGAACAGAAGGAAGGGGAGGAGGAGGAGGAGGAGGAGGAGGAGGAGGTGGAGGAGGAGGAGGAGGAGGAACAAGAGGAGGAGGGGGGAAAAAACCCTAGTCCGTGCCCGATCGCCGCGCTCAGCGCTTGCAGGCGGCCTCGCCTGAAGCCGCCGCCCAGCTGGCCCCGCCGCTGGTCGCCGTCTGTGGGGCACTGCGGGAGCCCGCGGCCCGCGCTTATTCGGCGCCTTTGCGGCGCGCCTCCTGTCTCCTCTATCCTTTCCTCGATCCTCTCCCCCTCATCCTCTCTCTTTTATCCTCTCTCCTCTCCTCCTCCTGCTGCTGCTACTGTTGCTGCTGCTTCTCCTCCTCCTACTCCTTCTGGGAGATCTTCCAAAGGTGGCAGGAAACGAGCGATGGCAGGGTTTGGTGGGAGGAGGAGGAGGACGAGGAGGAGGATGAAGAAGAGGACGAAGAGGAATAATCATATAAGACTAATAATAATGATAATACTAAACAATAGTCATAAATAATGGTCAGACTCATAATACTAATGATATTAATATTATCAATAACCAGAAATGAATGCGAATGTTATTATTATTAATACTACTGATCATACTAATAATAACGCTAACAATACTAGTAATACTGTGAATATTGAAAGTAGTAGTAGTAGTAGTAGTAGTAGTAGTAGTAGTAGTAGTAGTAGTAGTAGTAGTAGTAGTAGTAGTAGTAGTAGTAGTAGTACTAGTAGTAGTAGTAGTAGTAGTAGTAATAGTAGTAGTAATATTAATATTAGTACTATTGATAACACTATGTAATGGGAGTACTATTAATCAGAAGCAAAACCATCATACTATTAAGAATACTATTAATACTAATACGATCAATACTAATAATAATGCGAAACGTAATCATACTAAGAATAATACTTCTTTTTAATAAGAACAATAAACGAATACCAATACTCATACTAATAAGACGAATGATAATAAACATAATAACTATAAGAAGAAGAAGAGGAGGAGGAGGAGGAGGAGGAGGAGGAGGAGGAGGAGGAGGAGGAGGAGGAGGAGGAGGGTCAGCGAGGGGCGTGAGCTCGGGCGGGCGAGGGGGCTCGGGCTGTGGGGGAAGGGCGAATGGATGCGGGGAGGGAAGAGGACGGGACGGCCGAGGGCGGAAAGGACAGCGATCCCGTTGCCCTTCCCTCGATTTCGCCACTTCCTTGTGGGCCCCCCCCCCCCCCAAGCCACTCCGCCCGAGGCCCGTCCGTGTTCCCGCGCGCACCAAGCGCACTCCCGTCACGCGATCCAAGCCCCCACGCCAGTCAAATAAGCAGCCCATCCCCACTGACCACACGCGATCTACACTCCACGCTTATCTGACAAGCCAGTGTACTGGTACCAGTAACTTTCACTTTTTGGTTGCCTTTTTGGGCGTCGTGGGGAGCCCTCGTTGCCGGGAGGAGGAGGAGGAGGAGGGAGAGCAGGAGGAGGAGGAGGAGGAGGAGGAGGAGGAGGAGGAGGAAGAGGAGGAGGAGGAGGAGGAGAGGGGAGGAGGAGGAGGAGGAGGAGGAGGAGAAGGAGCCCATGTGGGAGGCCGCTACGATTCCTGTGAGCGCTCCGCGGCCCCGCCCAGGAGCGGGCCCTGCTGCCCCTGCTGGTGTCCGACGCGTGCGCCTCGCACGCCATCCGGCTGCTGCTCCTGGCCCTGGGCGGGTGCCCCCCCCTCCGCGGCGCTCGGGAAGCTCCCGCTCACCGTGAGACGACGTCGTCGTCGTCGTCGTCGTCGTCGTCGTCGTCCTCTTCCTCCCCCTCGTCCCTCTCCTCCTCCTCCTCCTCCTCCTCCTCCTCCTCCTCCTCCCTTCCCTTCTCCTCCTTCTCCTCCTGGTCGTTGTCGTCGTCGTCGTTTTCGTCGTCGTCGTCGTCGTCGTCGTCGTCGTCGTCGTCGTCGTCGTCGTCGGCGGGTGCCCTCCTGCGGCGCTCGGGCAGCTCCCGCTCCTCGTGAGACACCAGCGAGGACGCCGGCGTCGCCAGATATCCGACGCTATTCGGCCGCACATCATCAGATCGGCGGCGAAAGTCATCGTTTTCTTGCTCATTGTTTTGCCGATCGGCGCGGGCCCTCGCACCCCCCACCCCTCCCCTCCCCCTGGAGTGGATCTTGGGGAGTGGATCCCTGGATCTTGGGTGTTTTTGGCGCCTGTTTCAAGCAGAGGTGGAGCCCCCCCCCCCATAGGACGCACGGCTGCAGACAGTCGCACTAAGCAAAGGTCCGGAGCCGGACCCCCCCCTCCCCCCCTTCTGCCCAATGCCGAGACGCCGAATCAACAAAGCGCCCCCAAGCCGCCCCTGACTCGGCGGCCCACCTCCAGGCCACCTGGCCAGACGTCACCACGTCGCCGGCGGAGGCATGCGACCTATAGTCGTCCCCGTGGGCCCCGGGGCCCGGGCGGCATTGTCGCCACAGCTTCTGGCCTCAAGAGCTGCTGCTCGTCCGACCAGTGGGCCCAAGGCGGGCAGCGGTTCTGAGCGGAGTGAGCTTGACCGGATCTTGGACGATCGTCGTTCTCTCCCGCGCCACCCCAGGGCCACTCGCGTGCAAGATGAGAAGCTGGCCCCGGGCACAGCCCTGGGGTCTGGGACCCGTGCCCCGCAGGGAGCCCCGTGCCAGCCCCGCCGCGGCTCCAGCTCTGGTCCTCGGTGCTCCTCTGGCCTGTGCGCTGTCTCAGACATCCGACAGTCAGATTTTTCAGTGCGCGGCCCCAGAGGTCCCGACCGCTTCCCCGGGGGTAGTTTTTCGTTCCAGATCAGTTTTTTATGGTCCCAGGGCCAGACAAGGGGCCCCAGAGGCTGAAATCGAGGAAATACGCCGGGACTGTAAAAGCACATCGTCGAAGGTCTGGATTCTGGGGCGGTCTTGGAGGGGGCGCTGGGGTCGGGTCGGAGGTTTCGGGCGGCCTTGCACAGCCGATCTGGTTCGACAAGCTGAAACACGGGGTGTGAGAGAATTGCAACGTCAGGATCTTATATGGGGAGGTAGGTCTCTTGGGATTTCGAGGCCACCGCGCGGTTTGTCACCGCACGGCTTTGAGGCGCGGCCCGAGACGGCCAAGGCTGCGGCCCGAGAGCCGCCTGCGCCGTGTGCTTGCTTCTGCCCGTCCAGCGGCCCTGCTGCTCCTCGCCCCTCGTGCCACCCTCCGAGGGCGGAGCGCACACTCCTCCTCCTCCTCCTCCTCCTCCTCCTCCTCCTTTTCCTCCTCCTCCTATCCTCCTCCTCCTCCTCCTCCTCCTCCTCCTCCTCCTCCAATCCTCCTCCTCCTCCTCCTCCTCCTCCTCCTCCTTTTCCTCCTCCTCCTCGTTCCCTCTCCAGCGCCCCTGTTCCTCAGTTCGCAGCGGATGCGTCCCGCCGTTTGGTTGACCGCTTGTTGGACCCAACTTGCTGCCGACCACAAGGTGTGCTTTCTGCTTCGCCGCTGTGGGGGCTCTCCGCGCCTTTGGCGCCGCCCGCTCGTCGTGCCAGCGCCTGTAAGCCCAGGCCACCTCTTTTTGGGGGCCCCAGGCCCCTCTCGAGGAGCACACCCTGGCACAAACCGATACGTGCTCGCGTCGCGGCAAAACTCAGGACGGGAGGTTTTTGGCCGATTCCGGCCTCTGGAGGCTCTTACCGGGCCCCACGACCGTCAAAAAACGGCTCAGGATGAGAAGCCGGTCCTGGGGAAAGGGTCGTGATTTCTGGGGACACCTTTTGGACAAACATCAAGACGCCGCATGTCTGGGAGCATAACTTTTCGGAGGTCCGCGCGCGAATTTCTGGGATCGGCGCTGGAGCCCCCCTCCCTGGCGCGCGGAGCGCGCAAGGGTCGGCGCCAGGGGCGGCGCCAGGGGCTGTACCAGAGGAGCGCGCCGGGGGGCCTCCAGCGCCGATCCGAGAAGTCCGCGCGGACCTACGGACGTTTTGCTCATGCCATTTGTTGTTCCTCTACCCTCGGGGGGCGTGGGGGGATCGAGGGTCGAGGGTCGAGGATGGAGGATGGAGGGTCGCGGTTCGAGGATCGCGGTTCCAGGGGCGCCTGGGGGTCTGGATGGGCTGCCGAGCGTGCCAAGAGCGGCGGGCGCCTCCTGCTGGCCTGTTCTGCGCGGGCCCTGTGCGTGCAGGCCAGCCGGGAGCTCCCTCGGTCGCCGGTCCGGGCCCTCGACGCACCGCAGAGGTCGGGCGCTGCGTCGCGCTGTCTGCGAGCTGCTCGGCCGCACGTCACGTTGCGTGGCGCTGCTGCGAGCCGCTCCCCGAGCTGCTCGGCCTGGCGCTGCGTTGCGTTGCGTTGGCTCCCCGAGCACGTCCACGCTCTCTTTTTGGGGGGTCGAGGGGGGCCTTCTGACGAGGGGGGGTGGGCGAACGAGCGCCAGCTCACCCGATAGGTGGCCCCCGGTGGTTTCAGGGTCCCTCGCGGAGCCTCTCCGGGATGTCTCCTCTTCGGGAGCCTCCACGGGGCTCCAGATGTCGGGGGCGGAAAAGAGGGGGGTGATGACTAAGGGGGGGTGGATATCATGGCGGGGGCCATGATATTTCCCCAGATTTCATGGCGCCTCTTCTTATTTCATTACGTCCCTGGCCCCCCCGCTGGGCCGCGCACATGCCGCTGGTCATGATTTGCACCCCCACCCCCTCTTGGACAACCCCTCCTTGGCCGCTCCCGCAGACGCCTCCAGTGGCACGCAGGGGGAGCTTTCCCCAGAGGATAGGGTGGCTTCGGAGGGCTGCGGAGGACTGCGCGGGTGCGCAAGCCTGTGGTGGCGCACTGGGGGGGGGGGGTGCGCGGGGCCCGCGGGCGGTGGCAGTCCAGGCGCTGGCAGGCGCTGGTGCACCCTGTGAAGGGCTTCGCGCGCCGATCCGAAGCTTTCGCTCAGCGCGTGGCGTTGGGCAAGATTGGCGCCCTCCGCGCAGGTTCATTGACTTGTTGTTGTCTTACTGCCTGGCGAGCGCATAACTACTCTCAGGTACTCTTCTTTTGTTTGTATCTCTTTGCCCGCTGCGCCCTTCAGGTTAATTCGTTTTACGCTCCGCGAAGTCGGCGGTCGCTTCTTGCATTAGAACGCGGCAAGCATGCGCTTCACGTCGGGGCAGCGTTAAAAACAGTTGACTTGCAGCCAGTACTGGCCGCCAGTACTGGCCGACGCTTGATCAGCCTCGGCGCCGCTTTGTCGCGCTGTGGCGGGCAGTGGCTGTTGGGAAGCCCCCCAGGTCTCGGCGTCGTGGGGTCGCCCCGACGCATCAGATTTGGCATAAGTGAAGGTCTGATGCGCGAGTTTCTGGCAAAACATCCGCTGCTCCGCGTCTCTCTCTCTCTCTCTCTCTATAGCGCTTCAGAAGTAATTCCACTAGATGTGAAGTGCGAGACCCGCGCAAGCGGCATGATCGATATCGAGCAGATGCGTCAACCAATCAACCACCTAAACACCAACCTATCATCGCAGTGTCGCCGAACTATGAGCGAACATGGCCGACATGTAGCCCGTGCAAATTACCGAACAGGCTGCGCGAAGCACGCCCTGCGCCGCGCAAGATCGAATGCACGGCGCGGGGGGCGTAGGAGGATTGGCGAGTGCTGTGCGGGTCTACGAGAGGGAGCCCTCATAATCCAGGGAGCCATACCTTTTTCTTTTTCGCCGCCACAAGCCGAAGTCGGACCGACGATTTCGAGGTTTCGGCCTCCGGGCAGCTTGGCCCCTGGGATCAGTCGGCCAACGGGGAAAGCCAATCGGGACCTCAGCGCCAACACTTTGGTTAACTTTTGAGATTATTTATCGTTCCGCCTAGTGTTGCGGGCCCCCCCGCCCCCCCTCGCCTCCCATAGACCAGATCTTGGCCTCTTTGGGCGGCTGCTTTCGGCGGCTGCTTCTGACGACTGGTCATGCTCCCAGTCTGCTTGCGCGTCTGGTAGGTGCAGGTCGACTAAACATTGGCCCAGACCTAGACCCAGACCCAGATACAGACACCCCCTCGTCCCCACCCTTCGACCAAGCATCGAAACCCAAACTCACAGAGGGCTCACAGAGGGTCAGACGCCAGTCAGCAAGTGGTGGGGTGCACTGGGAGCGAATGGAGGGACGAAGGAGGAGGAGGAAGGGACAGAGCTCAAGGGGCGACGAGCAAGGCACCCGCTCAGACCACGAACGCCAGCGCGGGGATGCCGTAGTAGAACTTGCCCCAGAACAGCAACACGCTAGCCTGAAGCTCCCGTCGAGAGCGCCGGCGTTGCAAAGCCGCCGTCTGGCTGGCAGCCGCCGGCGCCGCCCCCGCCAGCGCGCGTGTCGCGCGCGGCCTCCCCAGATGCCCCCCGACGTCGCGACGTCGTCGCGACGTCGGCCCCCGAAGGTCTCGACCCACTTTGCCGCCCTGCCCTGCTCCTCCTCCTCCTCCTCCTCCTCCTCCTCCTCCTCGTCGCTTCTCGCTCCTCGCTCCTCGCTCCTCGCTCCTCGCTCCTCGCTCCTCCTCCTCCTCCTCCTCCTCCTCCTCCTCGTCGTCGTCGTCGTCGTCGTCGTCGTCGTCGTCGTCGTCGTCGTCCTCCTACTGCCCGCTCGCGGGCCGCGCGCCGCCTCAGTCGCACCGACGCTGACAGGATTGACGTGGACATGTGTGTGCGCTGTGGTAGGAGGAAAAATGCCTCCATTTCCCCCTTCTCCCGCTCCTCCTTTTCCTGCTCCTTCTCCTGTTCCCTCTCCTCCTGCTCCTCTGCCTCCTCCTCCTCCTCCTCCTCCTCCTCCTACTCCTCTGCCTCCTTCTCCTTCTCCTCCTCCTCCTCCTCTCTCCTCCTCTTCCTCCTCTTCATCCTCGTCTTCCTCCTCTTCCTCCTCCTATTCCTTTTCCTCCTCCTCCTCCTCCTCCTCCTCCTCCTCCTCTGCCTCCTGCTCCTCCTCCTCCTCCTCTTCCTCCTCCTCCTCCTCCTCCTCCTCCTTGGCGCTTATACTTTCTCGGAGTTGATTCGTAGCGCTACGTGCTTTATCTTTGAAGCCCGCGTTGGGCAGAGTTACTCGTGGATCGGCAGGGTGATCGCATCGCTTGAAAAGAGAGAGGTATCGACCCATTGCCAGGGACTGGGTTTGCACCCCTGTCTCGCGACGCTGCTGTGTGCCCCCCCCTCGACCCTGCCTTCGTGGTGGCCCCTCGGCCCAAGGCAAGCTTTCTCTGGCATCCCTCCCTCCACTCTGGGGTAACATGTCCTCAGGAGTGGTCGGGCCGCGCGCACTGCGGCCCCCCCTTTCCACCATCTCCATCCACAAAAGCCATCGCCACTGCTCCGCCATCGCATGGGGTAGTGGGGAAACTCAGTCCCGAATGGTTTTCAGACGGCCCCGGGGCCCGGCGAGCCCTGGAGGCCGGAAATCGCGAAGCTCGGGGGCGGCCAAGAGGGGGGTGACGACTACGGGGGGTGGAGGTCATGGCGTGGGCCATGATATTTCCTCAGATGGCGCCGTTTCTTCTTTTGTTACGTCCCTGGGTCCCCCCCTGGGCCGCGCACGTGCCGCCAGCCATGATTTGCACCCCCCCCTCTTTGACGCCCCCCTCTTGGCCGCCCCCGAGAAACGCCTCGCGTCGTACTTTTCTCACGGCCCCAGAACGGGGGGTCTGGGCCCCGCGCGCCTAGGTACGCCGCAGAGATGCAGGGGAAGGGCCGCGCGAGCGTGCGGGCGGGCATCCTGCCCGAGCGAAAGTTCGACGTCCCCGCGGAGGTGGGCGGCGCAGAACCACGGTTTCGACTGCGCCGACGCTGGCGCGCAAGCTGCCCTGCGCAAGGTCGTGCGCAGGCGCCCTCGCTTGCAGTGCAGCGTGCCGCGCTGGCAGCCCGCGTAAGCTGCGGCGCAAGGTCGCTGGGCCATCTCGCGCCACACCCGTTTCTGATCGTCGCTCAGGTGGCCGAGTGCCGCCGCGGCCTCGCCGCCGCCGTGGTCGAGATGCTGCGGCAGGACGGCGGCCTGGCCCTCAGCGCGCGCGCCAGCCCGGTGGTGCAGCTGCTGCTGCGGATCCTCCGCGACCGCGGCGAGCGCGCCCTGGTGGCCGAGCTCGCGGCCGTCGTCGTCGGCGTTCAGGGGGGGGAGTGATGCCGATACCGCTGCTCGTCCTGGAGAGCCCTCGTCACCAGGGCTGGGTTCTCTTCGGAGTTCTGGTCAGAACGCACCCCAGGAGAGGTCCGGGGAGCGGCGGTATCAGTACGTTGTTGTTTCCCCAGGCGCCCCCGCTGGCTCCACGAAGCTGTCGACCGAGAGGTGCGACGTGCTCCTGCACTCGGCCCCGGGGTCCCGCGTTCTCGAGGCGGTGCTCGAGGCCGGCCCGCCCGAGCTGGCGTCCGCGCTGTTCTCTGGGTATTTCCGCCCGCGCCTCGGCGCGCTCGCGCGCGGGGAGCCCGAGTATGGGCTGCCCGTGGCCCAGCGGGTGGCGGACAGCCTGCGCGAGGAGCCGCAGCTGAGGCTGGCGCTGCAGGAGGTGGACTTCGTGGCCTGCCTCGGCGCCGAGTCCTCCGCGGCGCAGCACGTGCTCGTGGCCAGGCTGCTGGAGGCCTGCCTGCGGCTGCGTGCGTGCCTCAAAGAGGCCGCCGCGGCGGTGTTCCGGGCCTACGGCCTGCAGTCCTCCACCGAGTTCCACCGGGCGTGGCCCACGCTGCTCGCGCTGGAGCGCACGGACTCCGCCCCGGCGCTGCTCCTGGCGCCCAAAAAACAAGCCGCCGCCGAAGGCCCCTCCCTGGCCGAGCGCGAGGCCTTGGAGGGCGGCGGTTCCGTGGCCACGGCCAAGCTCAGGACGAGGAGCTGCGCGGGGTCCCAGATCCTCGCCGCCCTGCTCCGATTCCCCGCCGAGACGGTGAGGCCCCTCAACGAAGGGCTGCACAAGCTGCTGGAGCACCGGCAGGTGCTGGCGGCGATGGCTCGGGAGGCCAGAACAGCCCGCGTGCTGGAGGCGGCTCTGACGACCACTTCCGCGCTGGCGCCGAAGCCACGCCTCCGGCTCGTGAAAGCCTTCAAGGGTCTGCTGGGGACGCTCGGGCCGCATCCGGTGGGCGGGTGGGTGTGTGCGTCTGCGTGGCGGGCCAGCTTCGGCGACGAGCCGCTCCGGAAGGCCTTCGCGGAGGAGCTGCTGACCGTGGAAGACGCCCTGCGCCGAGACAACTTCGCCGTGTGGAAGGTGTGCGGGCTGCACCAGGTGAAGGCGCACCGCGAGGTGTGGGAGAAGGGCCAGAAGAAGGCCGGCAAGGCGAAGCGCTTCTTCGACGAGATCCTGGCGGGCGCCGACCCCGAGGCGGCCAAGGCCGCCTCCGCAGCCAAGGCCGCCGCGGCTGCCGAGCGGGCCGCCCAGCAGGAGGCGGCGGCGGCGCTGGCGGACCCGACGGTCCAGAGGCTACGGGGCCCAAAGGTATACACCACCACCACCACCACCTCCCTCCTCCTCCTCCTCCTCCCTCCTCCTCCTCCTCCTCCTCCTCCTCCTCCTCCTCCTCCTCCTCCTCCTCCTCCTCCTCCCTCATCCTCTCTCTCTCTCTCTCTCTTCCGGGAAAGAGGAGAGGAAGCTGAGGGTGGAGGAGGGAGGAGGAAACGACGTGGTGGTGGTGTATCCTCTTGGGGCCCGCAGAGGCTCCTCCCGGTCGCCACTGTGGTGGAGGGCGCGGGCGCCGGGCCGCCGCGCACCGGCGAGGACCCCGAGGGCGACCTGGGCGAGCCGGATGCCGACCTCGACGGCTGCTTCTCGGGCGCCGCGCGCTCGAAGAAGAGGCGCCGCGCCGCGCCGCCGCAGGAGCCAGCCCGCGCGGCTGCGGCGCCGCGCCGGGAGGAGGCGGCAGACCCATCGCTGGGCGAGGCCCTGAGGCTCATCGCGGCCGGGAGCAGCAAGCGCGGGAAGAGGAGGAAGAAGGCGCCAGCGGTTCAACGACGGGCCCCTCTTCGAGTAGGGCATCGACTACATAATGGATTTACCCCAAACTTGATTTGACTGGCTCCCATCTCCCCGACTCCGGCTCCCACCAACTTTCCGACTCCTGCTCCCATCTTCCGACTCCGGCTCCAATTTTTCCGACTCCAGCTCCCATCTTCCGTGTCCAGCTTCCGACGTTCCGATTCCAGCGCATGTCTCTCCGACTCTGGCTCCCAATTTTCCGACTCCAGTTCTCTCCGACCCCAGCCCCAATTGTCATATATTCGACTATGAGACGTTCGAGTGATGCCGGCGCCCCGGCGCCACCGCCTAGCCCCGCGTAGGGCCGTCCCCCCTGGGACGACACAGGCGCAGCCTCCCAGAATTAACGGATCAGACGAAACATGTTTGTAGATCTACGAACATGCTACGTTCTTCTTGGCATTGTTGGTTCGACGAACGAATCACTTGGTAAATCAATTCTGCACTCGCTCTCCTACTCGACCTCTGAGGGATGGGACCGCTTAGCCGCCCAGATGCGCGCGTGTATACCGTGTTCGAAACGTCTGGGTTGACGCGGCGTGATGGCTCGGCTTGTACCGGCCCGCGTGTTGACGGCCACATCGCGCTGGGGGTACGTTTCGATCTGCGTGGTGAGTGCCGTGCCAAGACGCTACGGGTCTACGTGTTGCGTGCTGGGGCAGCGGAGGACCCTCAGGGGCAGGAAGGGATCCCAAGAGTGGAGTCACGCCGTTTGGGGGCCCCTCGTCCGGAGGGCCCCATCCCTCAGGGCCCCAGCCTTTAGATCGCCGAGAACTCTGGGCAGGATATGAATCGAGGGGTGGGCGACTAACCTTCCGACGGAGCTTGCCCCTCCCCCTCCTCCTCCTCCTCCTCCTCCTCCTCCTCCTCCTCCTCCTCCTCCTCTCCTCCCTCCTCCTCCTCCTCCTCCTCCTCCACCTCCTCCTCCTCCTCCCCTCCTCCTCCTCCTCCTCCTCCTTCCTCCTCCTCCTCCTCCTCCTCCTCCTCCTCCTCCTCCTCCTCCTCCTCCTCCTCCTCCTCCTCCTCCTCCTCCTCCTCCTCCTCCTCCTCCTCCTCCTCCTCCTCCTCCTCCTCCTCCTCCTCCCCTCCTCCTCCTCCTCCTCCTCCTCCTCCTCCTCCTCCCCTCCTCCTCCTCCTCCTCCTCCTCCTCCTCCTCCTCCTCCTCCTCCTCCTCCTCCTCCTCCTCCTCCTCCTCCTCCTCCTCCTCCTCCTCCTCCTCCTCCTCCTCCTCCTCCTCTCCCTCCTCCTCCTCCTCCTCCTCCTCCTCCCTCCTCCTCCTCCCCTCCTCCTCCAACCCCCCCTCCACCCGTTCCGACAGCACGTGCCCGCCCCCCCCTGGCGGATCCCAAGGGGGGGGGGGCGACTACTGCCCCATCCAGAGAAGGCGTCTGCGAAGGCGTCGGCGTGAGGCGCGCGCCGGCTTCAGGCGCAGCCCGCACGGCGCGCGCCGTCCGCCGCCGTCCGCGGCAGCGCCGCGCGGCCTCGGCTCTCCGCCCTGCTCGCGCGGCCCCTGCCGGAGCCTGCCTCCCGAGGCCGTGTGCCTTTGTCGCCTTGCTGCCCTCCTCCTCCTCCTCCTCCTCCTCCTCCTCCTCCTCCTCCTCCTCTCTACCCCTCCTCCTCCTCCCTCCTCCTCCTCCTCCTCCTCCTCCTCCTCCTCCTCCTCCTCCTCCCCCTCCTCCTCCTCCCCCTCCTGCTCCTTCCCCTCCTCCTTCCCCTCCTCCTCCTCCTCCTCCTCCTCCTCCTCCTCCTTCCCTTCCTCCTCCACCTTCCCCTCCTCCTCCTCCTCCTCCTCCTCCTCCTCCTCCTCCTCCTCCTCCTCCTCCTCCTCCTCTCGAAAACCGAGCATCCACTTCACCCTCGCTGCATCGCTTCCCCTTCGAATCTCCCTTCCCCCCCCCTCCCCTAGACATCCTTGCGTCGCTCGGGTCGACCCAAAAGGGGCTCCAGCGACAAGGGGGTGGTGCAATAGATTTGGTGCAATAGATTCATGGGGTTGCGATACTTTTGGGACGTGCAACACATTCCGGGGCGCAGATGTATTGCTGGGCTTTCGCGCGCAGTACATCACATGCAATACAATGCAACCCAACTCTCCAGCGCAGTACATCTGCAAAACCATTGCCCCAGATCTATGGCACCACCCCCTTTTTCAGCTGGACCCCCTCGTGGGTGGCCCAGAGTCGCGCACAGAGCACCACGACGGGCAGCCTCCTGGCGCCCTTCGGCCTCCCAGGGGGGCCCCCGGTGGGCCCTCGGGACCGTCGAGCACGGCCCGGGATGAGGAGCCGTCCGCCGAGAGCAGGTCCAGCCCTCGGGGGAGCGGCGCTGCGGACAACATCGCGACGTCGGATGTCTGGGCCTCCCCCCCAGCTCGAAGAAGAAACCCTTGCACAGGCATAGTTCAAAGGCATACAAAAAAACGCCCCTGCCCTGGTTTACGAGGCGCTGTGCGCTGAAGCTCCTGCGGGCTCTGACAGGGTAAGCCCTGCGTGATGTGCGGCGTCCTGGCAGCTCTCTGGGCCTCGGGAGTCCCCAGGAGGTTTACAGACCACGCACTTGTAACCCAGGGTCGGGTCGTTCTATCATCCCTCGAATAGTTTCTCGGAGGTCCGCGCGGACTTTTCGTTTGGACACCCGAAATGGGTACGGAAAAGATGGGCACGATGCCCAACAACAAATGTCGTCCCAAACCAACTGCGGCCGCTGTTGGGCGGGCGGCCCTCCGTCTCAAATGCACGCAGGCCGCGGCGGCGCGGACAGCGAGCCATATTCAAAGTGAACAGGAGCTGCTGTTGGGCATTGTGCCCATCCTTTCCGTACCCATTTCGTTCGTGCCGATCTCGGCTCGGCGCTGGGCCCCCCTCTCTGGCGCGCGGAGCGCGCCAGGGGACGTCAGCCATCGACCTCCCCGACCCTGGCTGGGCCCGTTCTGGGCCCAGGGTCGGCCCGGGCCCGGATCGGGGAGGTGGGCTGCTGACGTCTCCGGGCTGCTCCCGCTCCCTCCGCCCCCGCTTCCCCCCTGTTTTTCCTGCCTCTCCCGCTTCCCCTCCTCCTCCTCCTCCTCCTGCCTTTCCCGAGCTCGCTCGCGCCTTCCCCATTGTTTCCGAGCTTCGAGCTCGTGGCATTCCCTCCGTACTGGAGCTGCCATCCCCTTCTCTTCCTCCTGCTCCTCCTCCTGCTCCTCCTCCTCCTCCTCCTCCATTCCTTTTCCTTATACATAACTCTTCCCCGGTCGCGCCCCAAGGCTGGTCGAAAGGTCGGGCGGGGTGTTTCGCGTGAGACTTCTTCTTCATTTCTGATCCTACAAGCTGGCAAGAGTTTCACGGATTGAGTGCGGTTCTGTTTCAACGTGTGGTTCTCGCCTCAGCGCCGTGCAGATTCGTCTTAACCATTTGCAATCGTGTTTTCAACATGTGGCTCTCGTCTTAGCGCCGCGCACATTCGTCTTAAACATTTGCATTTGCTTCATTGAGTGAAGACGGGTGGTCTTCAACACGTGGCTCTCGCCATAGCGCCGCGCACACACACACGTTTAAACAACTTGCAAGAGTTTCGCGGATTGAGGGCGGGTCGTTTTCAACATGTGTCTCTGGCTTTAGCGCCGCGCGCACTCGTCTTAAACATTTGCAGGAGTTTCACGGATTGAGGGCGGGTGGTTTTCAAACTGTGGTTCACGCCTTAGCTCCCGAGCTTGTCCCAGGCCTGTCCCAGGCCTCCCGCCCCGCGGAGCTGGGCGACGCGGCGTCCGCTCGCAGGGCACATCGTGTCGCTGGGGCCGCCGCTGCGACACGCTGAGCAGACGCTCCCGACCGCAGGAACCTCAGACAGGGCGCGGGCGCACCGCAGCCCGCAGGTCCCCGGAGGCCCCCCAGCGCGATTGGACGTGCAAGAACCTCGATCCTCGGGCGCTCCACCCCTCGATCCTCGATCCCCCTCGATCCTCGAGCGCTCCCCCCCTCGATCCTCGATCCCCCCTCGATCCTCGAAATCCTCGATCCCCCTCCTCGACCCTCGATCGCTCGATCCTCGATCCGTTCATCCTCGATCCCTCGATCCTCGTGCTGCGATGTGGGCCGCTGGGGGCCCAGGGGGAGCTCGGCTTTCCGGGCCGTGCCCTAGACTTGCGCGTCGTGGAGGCTGCCTGTGGCCCTGGCCCGCCGTGGCTAGAGCTGCCTGACCGCCTCTCGCTGTGCGCTCCATCTGGTAGCGCGTGGACTGGATGGCGCGAGCGCACCCAGCTCGTCCTCCTCGCCCCCCCCCTCCTCCTCCTCCTTCTCCTCCTCCTCTTCTTATTCCTCCTCCTCTTATTTCCTCCTCCTCTTATTCCTCCTCCTCCTCCTCCTCCTCTTCCTCCTCCTCCTCTCCTCCTCCTCCTCCTCCTCCTCCTCCTCCTCCTCCTCCTCCTCCTCCCCCCTCCTCCCTCCTCATCCTCCTCCTCCTCCTCCTCCTCCCCCCCTCCCCCTCCCCCTCCCCCTCCCCCTCCTCCTCCCCCCCCTCTCCCGAGCAGCGGCGCAGTGGCCCCGCGGCCCGCCTTCGCCCGTATACGCGGGCGCGCGCGCGCGCGCCCGAGCAGGGCAGGGCGCGGAGGCCGGGGGCCGCGGAAGCCGCCCTGCCGGGCAGCGCGCGGGAAACGGAGCGAGAGGGGGAGAGAGAGGCAGAGAGGCAGAGAGGCAGAGAGACTCGGCTTGTACCGGCCCGCGTGTTGACGGCCACATCGCGCTAGGGGTACATTGCGATCTGCGTGGTGAGTGCCGTGCCAACGCGCTACGGGTCTACGTGTTGCGTGCTGGGGCAGTTGAGGACCCTCAGGTCGGGCCGGACGGAGGGGGGGGATTGGGAAAGGGGGGGTTGCGAAATTTGCTGCATGCAGCTGGTTTCGGCCCCACCGATGGGGCCCATTCCTCGATACAGAAGGCGCCTTCCAGCGCCGGGAGGCGCCGGGAAAATCAGCCACGTGAGCTGGTTCTCACCCCCCCCCTTTGCTATCCCCCCCTTTCGCCCGACCCGAGAGACAGAGAGACGGAGAGATCGGATAAGTAAGCGGGAGTCCCGTCGACAGCCGGCTGCTGCGGTAGCCGAGGCCGCCATCGCGCTCGTGGCGGCGGCGCGCAGCTTAAAGCACGGGGAGTGCTGAGACAGCCACACCCCGGCGCAGAGAGACGAGAGACGGAGAGAGGCAGAGCGACGGAGAGAGGCAGAGAGAGAGAGGCCGTGGGCCAGGCGGGCGGCCAGGCCGAGGGCCGAGCGGGCCGCGGGCCAGGCGGCGGCGGCGGCGGCTGGTAGCCCTCTTCTCCTTGCCTCCCTCTCTTCTCCTGTGTGCACGATTCTTCCATACTCAATTCGCATTCCGACAAGAGACCCAGCCTAGATCTCCGACGTTTTTTTTCCCCATATCCTAAGGATTGGGGTTCTTGTTATTACTCTGACGCCTCCCACTCCTCCTCCTCCTTCTTCCTCCCGCTCGCGCCTCCCTCCTCCCAATGATAATCACCAGATAAGACAAGACAATATAAGATACTACAAGATAAGATAAGATAGCACAATACATGATAAGAAAAGATTTTAAGATAATATATGATAAGTTAAGCTCACACTCACACTCTCTCATGATCACAAAACGCTGCCAGGGGCATCATTTGGGAGCCCCAAGGGGGAGCCACCCTGGCTGATCTCACGAGCCCGTTCGCGCCGATTTTGGTGGGACGTCTCAGCTAGAATTGCCGTTTGGCGCCCCCAACATGTATCTCTTGAGAGCCTCATGGTCACAAAACGCTGCCAGGGGCATCATTTGGGAGCCCCAAGGGGGAGCCACCCTGGCTGATCTCACGAGCCCGTTCGCGCCGATTTTGGTGGGACGTCTCAGCTAGAATTGCCGTTTGGCGCCCCCAACATGTATCTCTTGAGAGCCTCATGGTCACAAAACGCTGCCAGGGGCATCATTTGGGAGCCCCAAGGGGGAGCCACCCTGGCTGATCTCACGAGCCCGTTCGCGCCGATTTTGGTGGGACGTCTCAGCTAGAATTGCCGTTTGGCGCCCCCAACATGTATCTCTTGAGAGCCTCATGGTCACAAAACGCTGCCAGGGGCATCATTTGGGAGCCCCAAGGGGGAGCCACCCTGGCTGATCTCACGAGCCCGTTCGCGCCGATTTTGGTGGGACGTCTCAGCTAGAATTGCCGTTTGGCGCCCCCAACATGTATCTCTTGAGAGCCTCATGGTCACAAAACGCTGCCAGGGGCATCATTTGGGAGCCCCAAGGGGGAGCCACCCTGGCTGATCTCACGAGCCCGTTCGCGCCGATTTTGGTGGGACGTCTCAGCTAGAATTGCCGTTTGGCGCCCCAACATGTATCTCTTGAGAGCCTCATGGTCACAAAACGCTGCCAGGGGCATCATTTGGGAGCCCCAAGGGGGAGCCACCCTGGCTGATCTCACGAGCCCGTTCGCGCCGATTTTGGTGGGACGTCTCAGCTAGAATTGCCGTTTGGCGCCCCCAACATGTATCTCTTGAGAGCCTCATGGTCACAAAACGCTGCCAGGGGCATCATTTGGGGCCCCAAGGGGGAGCCACCCTGGCTGATCTCACGAGCC